TGTATATATACTAATTACTGATTATTAATGAAGTGAACACATATCGAACACTTACTATGTGCCAGGAACAATTCTAAATGCTCTTCTGGTAAGAACTAATTTAATTAGCCTAACAACCCAATAGCCAAGATATTATCTTTATTTTACATGTGAGGAAATTTTAGCACAGAGAGGTTAAATAATTTGCTTAAAACTACACAAGTAGTGGGGCCGGCAAGTGGCATGGTGGTTGAGGGCACTGGACTCCCACATGGCCAACCACGGTTGAAGTCTCGGACCTGGTGGCTTGCTTTCTCACTTCCTCTCTCTCTCTCTCTGTGTGTCTCTCTGATCAAACTGGAAAATAATAATGATAATAATAATAATAATAAATAAAGTTAAATATAATAATTCTTTAAAAACAACAACAACAACAACAAAAATCCACAAAAGTAGTAAGGAGTAAAAGATGGTATCTAGGTATTTTGGATAGACATAGATAAGACAATGCATGTATTTGTCCTTATAGAGCTTATAAACATACTTAGTTGCTCTTCATTCAACCAAAACATAACCAGTGAACACCTATTCTCAGCAACCGACCAAGAAGCAAACCTAAATAATCGCTTCATAACCAGTATTTCTTTTTTTACTTTATTTTTTAAATATATTTTTAATTATTTATTTCATCCCATTTGTTGTTATTATTTTTTAATTTGAGCAGGGAGAGACAGAGACAGAGAGAAAGGGAAACCAAGAAAGTAAACCATCAGGTCCAGGACTCAAACCATGGTTGACCATATGGGGAGCCAGCACCTTTAACCACCATGCCACCTGCCCACCCCCACAATCAGGGTTTCTAAAAGGAAGACTTTAAGCAAGGGAAAAAAACACTAGTAAAGGGAGTAGGTTTGAATATAATCAGACAAACAACAACAGAAAAAGTCAAGTAGAAACAATGTAGTTTAGCAAGCCACATGATGAAAGGACCAACAGGGAGATGAAAAGGTGTTCAACATTACAAATCATCAAGGAAATGCAAATTAAAACCACCATATCATGTCACATCTGTTAAGTGGTCTTCAAAAAATTCACAGAAAATACTATTATGAAGAAACTATGCATGGATTTCAACTTTTTGGGTACCAAAACAAATTCATACTTTAATTTCATTTTCAACAAACTTTCTAAAGTCTCCTCATATTAGATGGTTATTATCAAAAAGACAAAAGATAACAAAGAGTGAGATGTACAGAAAAGGGAACTCTCATATACTGCTGGTAGAAACATAGACTAGTACAGCCATTATGGAAATCAGTATGGAGGTTCCTAACGAAATTAAAAATACTGGGGACAGCAGGTGGCATAGTGGTTAAGGCCCTAGATTCCCACATGGCCAACCACAGTTTGAGTCTAGGACCTGGCAGCTTGAACATCACACCAGGTGTGTGAGCATGCATGCCCAAAATACAGAAAGGATAATGGAAGATAAGGGACCATGGCATGGCCATCCCCCTCAGGGGGTGATTTCTCACTTTCTCTCTTTCACTCTATCCCTCTCTGGTCAAATTAAAATAAATAAATGGATAAATAAAGTTAAATAAAAATAGTTCTTAAAATTTTTTTTAAAAAATTAAAAATAGATCTATTGGACCTGGCAGGTGTGTGGTGGTTGAGGTGTTGGACTCCCACATGGCCGACCACAGTTCGAGTCCCAGACCTGGTGGCTTCCTTTCTCACTTTCTCTCTTTCACTCTATCCCTCTCTGGTCAAATTAAAATAAATAAATGGATAAATAAAGTTAAATAAAAATAGTTCTTAAAATTTTTTTTAAAAAATTAAAAATAGATCTATTGGACCTGGCAGGTGTGTGGTGGTTGAGGTGTTGGACTCCCACATGGCCGACCACAGTTCGAGTCCCAGACCTGGTGGCTTCCTTTCTCACTTTCTCTCTTTCACTCTATCCCTCTCTGGTCAAATTAAAATAAATAAATGGATAAATAAAGTTAAATAAAAATAGTTCTTAAAATTTTTTTTAAAAAATTAAAAATAGAACTATTGGACCTGGCAGGTGTGTGGTGGTTGAGGTGTTGGACTCCCACATGGCTGGCTGCAGTTCAAGTCCCAGACCTAGTGGCTTGCTTTCTCACTTTCGCTCTCTCTCTCTGGGCCAATTAAAAAATAATAATGATAATGAATAAAATAAATAATTCTTAAAAAAAAAAAAGAAAAAGAACAACTGGAATGACCCTATAGCCTAGTGGTCAAGGGAGCCAGATCCCACATGGCTGACCAGGGTTCAAATCCCAGCCTCAGCAGCTTGAAAAACACACTGGGTGTGTGTACATGCATGCCCTAAATCCCAACAGGATATAGAAATGGAGGATGAGGGACTGCAGAAGGACCACACTTCACTGGGGGTTCTCTCTGGTGAATAGACATATCCTCAAGCAATTTAAAAAAAAAAAAAAAAAAAGAACCACTACATGATACAGCAATCCCTATTCTGTGTATCTATCCAAAAAAACTGAAAGCACCACATTATAAAGATATCTGTGTTCTTATGTTCTCTGCAGTCATTTAGAATAGCTAAGATATGGAAATATTGGGAAATCAGAAAAGTCTTGACCCATTTTTACACAGAAAAAAAATCATGACTTTTCCAATTACCCAATAGTGTAAGTGTCTATCAGTGAATGAATAAAGAAAGAAAATGTGGGCAGGCTAGCAGGTGGTTTGGTAGTGAAGGCACTGGACTCACACATGGACAACTGCAGTTCAAGTCCCGGACCTGGCAGCTTACTTTCTCACTTTCCTTAGCTGTCTCTCTTGCTGATCAAATTAAATAATAATAATAAATAAAATTATATAAATAATTGTTAAAAAAAGAAAATGTGATAGACACAAAATGAAATACTATTCAGCATTACAAAAGGAAGATCCTACCATGTGCCATAAGATGGGTAAGCCTGGAATAAATTATGCCAAGTGAAACAGGCTAGACACAAAAAGAAAAATATTGCATGATCTCCTTTATGTATGAAATCTAAAAACAAAACTATAAGGGCATACTGACTCAAAAACTATTACATGAGGACAGAAAACAAGTTAACAGCCCAAAATAAAATAAAAACCATTAAATGTCTGGTATGTATAGAATGTGCTGATTCCACCGTACCTAACCACATCTGTATACCTGCCATACCTACAATCTCCCAAAATTGTTCAACTGGTTGCCCTATAAAAGATTCTCCTCTTTTCCGGCAGGCGGGCTAAAGCACCTCTGGCTTCAGATCCCCAGGGAGCCTTGTTCAATAAACTTTCCTTCTCCTCTTGAGATGATTTCCTCCTGAGTCTACAAATCATGACAAAAACAAAAATAAAAAGGTTCAAATATACAGAAATAATGAGTAAAAGGACCAGTAGATGCTGTAATGGTTATGCCGCTGGACTCCTGCATGGCTGACCACAGTTTGAGTCCCAGACCCTAGAGGCTTGAAACTCAAGCCACGCACCATTTTGGGCGTGTGTGCCCAAGATCCGGAGAGGAAAAATGGAAGAGAAGGGACTTCTGCGCAGTAACCTCCCCTGGGGAGTTGATTTTTCACTTTCTGTCTCTCTGGTGAACACACGTAGCCTATAGCAAAAATCTCTCTAAAAAGAAATAAAATAATGAGTAAAAAGTGGTAGCAGGAGGCAGAAGGAAATGGAGAGAGGTCAAAGGACACAAAGCAAATAGGACAAACAATTCTAGAAATCTGATCTACAACATGAGAACTGTGGTTAATAAATTGGTATTTTATTAGAGATTTTTGTTAAACAGGTAGATTTTAGCCGCTCTTGTCACAAAGTACCTACATGAGACGACAGAAATGTTTACTGCTTCATTACACTAACATTATCATCTATGTGTCCCATAACATCATGTTGTAAATCTTAACTACATACAATTTATTTTTTAAAAAAGAAAACAAAAGCACTCAGATATAAATATTGCGATTTTCAGGTCAAAATCTGGAGTTCCTCCTCACCAACGAGGAAGATCCACCACCAACTAATTATATCACACCTTAGTCTACCACTTCCACCTTCCAGGTAACAATCATTTCCCAGGTTTTACCACCAATGACGTTTATTTAAAAGCCTCTATTCACAAAGCTAGGGGTTATAGGTCAATTTCTGTTGCCGGTCACAGCAATTACTAAATAACTAGTAACTTCAAAGGTCATGACAGTAATCTCAGTAAATTCATACAGTAT